GAAGATATTGCTTGTATGAGATCATACGATATGTCCTAGGAGATATCATTTTGACAGTAGATTTTGTACAATGCCCCGACAATGCTATGACGTCAGGAACTTGATGACGTCATAATGCTATGACATCGATGCACTGCAAGTGTAATGGCAGTACCGTGTTCACAGATGTACATTTTTCACTGAAAGCTAAACAAGAGTGATTGTCGATGATAAACAGAATCTCACCAAATATATCAACACTCGTTAATAAAAGTAAAAATATCCTCGGCAAGCCTCGGATATTTGTAACTTTATCAACTCGTGGTGATATATTTGATATCAAAAGACACTCGGGTGAGATTCTCTATATATTATTAATATGAAGGAATTTTATCATCCAAAACTGTGTTCCACAGGAGATATTGATTGTGTGAGATCATACGATATCTCCTAGAGAATATCTTTTTGATAGTAAATTTTGTACAATGCCCTGACATGTTTTAGTCGTTATATCACTGACTACGAGCAAACTCGCACACTAGTTTCTACAGCACGTTAACTCATTTCTAAACAGACTTTCGTCCTAAAACAAACAATAATGACGAACTACAATAGTTATCACGGAATCACCATAATAGTGTCTACAGATTTGAATTGAATCACATACCTCAAGTTGATTGAGTATTTTTTCAATAGGTACTGCAAAATCTGGAAGGCCCTCAAAATCTACAGAAATGTGAAAAAATGTACACGATGGGTTTCTACGCTATTCTTTTCATTCATTGCTTTCGGTTTTGATGAATTTTTGATAATCCACCCTAGGGAAATGAGTTCGTTAAACTCAGTTTAAGGAGAGTGAATGGGTACCAGGTGGGATAAGGCACATGACTGTTAACCTTTATTAACACAGAGTGGACTCTGTTAGCCTTCTAGCGCCTTACAGGCAGCTTGGGTTAACTGAAGTTATCATGTCGTACAACTTCGAGCATGCACGTGATACTTATCATTATTATTTTCATTATCAAATACGTCTCTTTTGAGGGTGTGACCGCCTCCGTGGTGTAGTGGTTAGAGCATCCGCCCGGAGAGCGGAAGGTCGTGGGTTCGATCCCCGACCGCGTCATACCAAAAGAAGTTAAAATATGGTACTTGTTGGTCCCTGCCTGGCGCTCGGCATTAATGGGTACAACAAGGACTGGTCGGCTCATTAAAATTTGGACACAGTTCACTATTTGTTACGAGGGAGGAGTGCAGAGAAAGGGACAGCCAGGTTTGCGAGAAGCACGTGCACAAGTGCCCACCAAGTTATTGATTCATCAGCCTGTGCTGTGCCGTCTCCATCCTTTCTCGCACACCTGGTTGTCCCTTTCTCTGCACTCCTCCCTCGTAACAAATAGTGAACTGTGTCCAAATTTTAATGATAGTTTCTTAAAGAACGTTTTTGGTCGAGTCCGGAAAATTTTCAAACATAAGAAAGCTGTTGGGTATTAGTAAATGATAAACATGTGTACTATTTATATTTATGTGGCAATTTTGTACAACGATAAAATTTGCAATTCATCGGTCCGTTTCTGACTCAAACGCACTGTAGCTATAAATCAATTGCCACTGAAGCAGATTCACGAAAAACAGACTTCGAATTTCATGGCAGTTGACATAAGCACATTCCAGTGTAATAATATTACATGACTCCACGATCGTTAATGTTGACGGACGCACGCACGGACTCGCTCGCACACTTACGTCTTCTTCCTAAAGCCTTGGCCATACTTGCAGTACAGGACAAGGAGGAGGATCACGATGACCGCTGCCACGGACAGTCCTACAGAAAGTCCTACTTGATCACCTGTCAAAGAACAGTGACATTCTTAAACTTGATTAATTTCATTAACTGGCGCCCATGAAAACATCCAAACAAAATCAAGTGACCATACCACATTTGTGAAATTGTATGGTACTAACAGCACTTCACCATCTCCTGGCAACGGGCATTTTGTAATTGCATGCATTTCATGAAATGGCGTCGGTGAAAATGAAATACAATCAAGTTGATTGTATTGTTTTCAACCATATTACAACTTGCATGGCAATATTTGTACACTCAGAGGCTGGAAAACTCCCCTAAGTTATTGTTAGTAATCCTGTGAATGATTTCTAAAGAAATACCATTAGGCATTTATGGTGACGTTTCCAGGACAACAATAAAGTCATAGACCGTAACGATCCAACGTCAAGACAAATGGAATTCAAACACGTGATTCCGACAGAACCCCGTGCCATACCTTGTAACAAAGGTGTATCTCTGAGAACAGTTTGTCGACCGAGGCATCTGTACAAGCCACCCAGCCTGAGTGCAATTTTCTGAAGTCAGAACATCGACCTCGACATCTTCAGGCAATGATTACAATGGGTAGTACGATAGTTGACAATAGCCATTTTATCGTTGAGTTGCCTTTCTTTCACATCGAGCTGATGGCAGGACAAGCGTCCGCCGGCGAGGTGAACGTTACATCAGGTGTACTGTGAGGGCATTGTTTTTGGGGTGGGGCATGATGATCGTGGGGTGCAGCAGGTACATGATTGTGAGTGAGAGGAACCTGAATGCTGTGAGTTACAGTGAGTGAGTGAGAATGGTTTTGCGCCGCTTGTAGCAATATTCCAGCAATATCACGGCAGAGGACATCAGAAATGGACTTCACACCCTGTACCCATGTGCTGTGAGTTACAGAGACGATATGTTACAAATGGCCGCTTACCCTTTTTGCAACAAAATGGCTGTAGGGAGGCGTTTCATCACGATAGCGTTATACGACATATTGATCGAGTTGATCAGGACAATGTTAATGCATCACTCTGGCCCAATCAATCCCCTGATTTGTCACCCATGGAACAGATTCAGGATGAAACGGAGCGACGTGTACAACGTCATTCGAATCCTCCAATGAAGCTGGATGAACTTCGCCATATCCTTCCTCGGAATGATCACCAGGATTTCCATTGATATGGTGCAAGTGCTACGCCCGCATCAATGCACACGGTGGATACACTCACTACTGGTCGTGTAAACTTGCTTGTGGACCCCCTCTTGTGCTGTGTCCTATGTACGTATGCATGCTATAACAGTTCCTCAACGTCACCATACTTTGAAACATTTATCGTTCCACACAATAACATTTCATTCGCGGCATGGAAGTTTAACACCTATTCTGTTTGCTGTTAGAACCGCCTCCGTGCTGTTCGCTCGTTCGATCCCCGGCCGCCTAATACCAAAAGACGTTACAATATTGTACTTGTTGTTCCCTCCCTGCCTGTTGGTTTCTGCCGCGGGCTTATTTTCTCAACCTCGGGGTCGGTTTTGATCTTTCACATCATATATCCCGTTGAGTAGGTTTTTCGAACAAAATAACTGGCTAATTACTGAGTGAGTTAATATTTAATGTCGCATCGGTAATATTTCAGTCATATCGTGACGAGGCTAAAAACTGAAACACACTGTAGAAATGTCAGTTCACCAGTCAGTGGATCCGTGCGATTTCGTATGTAGCGCCTAACTTCCCCGGGACTTTATCTAACTTATAGAATAGACTTTACGATAGAAGAAAAAAAGTTGTACCTACCAGTATCACAGTCAGTCCCGTAGTAGGAGTCTACACATCCAGACACACAGGATGACCCCAGCTGACAATATCCTCCATCACAACCACCTGGACATGCTGTACAGTTACCTCCTGGACTGTCACATAGTATGTTGCACCCAATGCCAGAATATCCTGGCACACAACACTCAGTGCAGTTACCGCTACCGTGTTCTGAGGGCCCACATTTGTTATTCCTACAGTTCCTGCTGCAGGTAGACCTACATTGCCGATCATAATACCCAGTGTCATACTCAGTGAGGCAATCCCCCGTCTCTCTGTCACAGTCTGAACAGTGATGGGTGTAACGGCATTGAACGGCTGAAAGTAATTGTGAAGATTTTATTTAATTGTTTCGTGAAATGTGAATATAGAGTTTATTCTTGAACAAAACCACAACATACTTAACTATAGGAAATGAGTTACAAAGTCCGTACTATCTGAACACCTCCATGTACAGGGTGGACGCTATTCCTCAGAAAGATCAGCAATACTTGCAAGACATTAACATACGGTATGGTTCTGTTAGAAAAGATACACAATCTTTCTACCTGTATGCTTACTAAGAATGCATAATAATATACTCACATCTGTAGTTGTGAAGATTAACAATACTGTTTAACTCAACAAACATACTGACGTCAAAAGTAGACACCAGGTGTTTCGGATTTCATAAACCCAAACAAACAAAATATTTGAATAGTATTTTTGCAACTTGACTACACTGTTTATGACTTTGATGGCACAGTAGAAATACTTTTCTCAATAGTAACGTTGTTTTCTTAAAAATAATCCCAAATGCCCACGTGTGAATTTTTTATAGGTTGGTTTACAGTCCTCTATCAACAGCGCCACGAGGATGACGTAATCTCAGAGGTTTCATGAAAGTGAACAAGCTGGGAAAATAACTCAACATTAAACATGCACAACTATTTTCTGACAATAATATTTTTTAAATAAGCTACAAATGTTATCACTGGCAGGAATGATTTTTTCTAGTTCAAAATCACGTGACAGTAATTAATCTTTTTTGATTGGACAGATGAAACCGCACACTGAAGATGATTAAACAACAACATTTGAACCTTCCTATAGCGGGGACTCCTCAGTGTAGGGAATAGATAGGAAAGTGTGGGGTTCGAATATGTGCTCCGCTCCCTCCTCCTCCTCCCCACCCTCCCCCGTCAGTACACGATTGTACCAGCTAGTCAGTACACATTGTTTTAATAGGGAACATAATAATACTATATTTCTGATCTCCCATCTATTTGTCAATAGCTCTTTCATTGTTATTGCAATGTCTTGTTCCTAATTATCTTGACTAAATTTATAGTATGAATATTAACAAATGGAAATACAATATTAGCAATACAATAAATTGTTTACCTTCTGTAGCCATTACTAAGCATGCTGTCCACACTATCACCCAAGCAGTCATTCTGTTCACTGAAACAAATAATAAAGTCAAATTAATCAAACAGAACCAATTAAGAAGTGACATTATTAAAAAAAACTTTACTGTTAATATCCAAAAGGAAATATTGTGATTAAAATCACAACAAAAACATAGAGGCAAAGAGGACTTACAGTCTGTTTGCAGTGAAAACGTACCGATGAATTTCAATTTAAACAAAAAAGTAAATCAAATAAAATGAAATTACGATTGCGATTCCTCATAAGTTTACCTTGCCAAATTAATATTTTAATCTGAGGATTTTATTCAACTTAGGATAAAAGTTGATCAAAAAACGATCATAGTTTAAAATCGCTATTATTGGTTTGTATTACAAGGGGTTATACACATTAAATGAAACACCGGGAACAAATAGTGTTGGTCTTTGTCAACGCTCATCACATACCGCACGTGCATTTGTTTCACTGTTCCAACTACTGTCCTAGCCCACTTGTGGAATCTAGTGATCTCTTCACATTTACAAAATATGTATTGTGTGATTATGGAATCTACAAAATATGGTTTATTTATGTTATAAGCATTTTTCAAGGATCACAAAACCTGGATACCCTGGTATGAAGGCTTGCACGCCAATGAACCTGCACAAAGTGAAAGTGAAAAGATAATTAATGTATCAACTTTTACAACAACAGGTACTTACGATATAATCGGTCTTCGATATGTAATCCTGGTGATACTGTATGGAGATGCGAGGGTTTGGAGCAAGACCTGTTACAATAAGAACACACTCTACATCTATCACCCTTCACAATTACATTAAACGTCCGCTCAAGGTCCTGTTGCTCTCAGATCAGGAAGATGAAAACTTCAACAGTCACGTGAAAAGAAGGACATATTTCATGTAGCATTTTTTACGAAACCACATGCTACATATTCTTAGCGTCATATTAAATTTTATTCGAAGAAACGATCTGCAAAATACGGAAGCGTAGTAGGGCCACGGTGAAAATATTTTTTGGTCTTACTATCTCCTACGTAGTACTTAATATCTCCTACGTAGGACTTAGTATCTCCTACGTAGGACTTAGTATCTCCTACGTAGGACATAGTATCTCCTACGCAGGACTTAGTATCTCCTACGTAGGACATAGTATCTCCTACGTAGGACTTAGTATCTCCTACGTAGGAGATACGTAGGACTTAGTATCTCCTACGTAGGACATAGTATTTCCTGTAGGAGATGATCGATATACGTTTATATGGAGTAATCTGAAACGGTCGACTGAAAGCCCCAGACACGCACACAATCTCCTGTTTCACTGTTTCAGTCACTGTAAGAGTCTACAGTCATTCGTTTCATTCACTATTAGAGTCTACAGTTATGTGTTTCATTTACTGTTAGAGTCAGAATATGAATATTCACTGACTCACATTTCGACTATCTAACGTCCTGCATAGCCAAACATTTCTCAACTTAATAACCATCCTTAAAAAGGATATATTAAGTCCTACGTAACAGATACTAAGTCCTACGTAGGAGATAGTAAGTCCTACGTAGGAGATAGTAAATCCTACGTAGGAGATATTAAGTCCTACGTAGGCGATAGTAAGTCCTACGTAGGAGATAGTAAGTCCTACGTAGGAGATACTAAGTCCTACGCAGGCGATAGTAAGTCCTACGTAGGAGATTCTAAGTCCTACGTAGGAGATATAAAGTCCTACGCAGGCGATAGTAAGTCCTACGTAGGAGATTCAAGTCCTACGTAGGAGATATTAAGTCCTACGTAGGAGATAGTGACCCCCAAAAATATTTTCGCCGTGGCCCTACTACGTTTCCGTAGCAAAACATACTTTATCAGTTAAAAATATTTTAAAATAGGTTTCTACCATCTTAATGCAAAAATGTCTGCGAATATATAGCCAGTGAGATTGAAACCATCGTCACACGTCAACTGAAGGGCAGTGGTGTTGACAGTTAACCTTATAAAGTGGGATTTAACTTCCCAAAAATGCATTGGGTTGTCGTTTTCGTTTGAGGGTGTACTGGTTTGTCGGGGTGTCAAGGTGTACTGGTTTGTCTGGGTGTCAAGGTGTACAGGGTTGTCGATGTATCTTGGTGTACTCGGTTCTCGATGTATTTTGGTGTAGTCTGTTGATTACCTATAATGGTGAAGAGACTGGGAGATGTATCTTGGTGTACTCGGTTCTCGATGTATTTTGGTGTAGTCTGTTGATTACCTATAATGGTGAAGAGACTGTGAGATGTATCTTGGTGTACTCGGTTCTCGATGTATTTTGGTGTAGTCTGTTGATTACCTATAATGGTGAAGAGACTGGGAGATGTATCTTGGTGTACTCGGTTCTCGATGTATTTTGGTGTAGTCTGTTGATTACCTATAATGGTGAAGAGACTGGGAGATGTATCTTGGTGTACTCGGTTCTCGATGTATTTTGGTGTAGTCGGTTGATTACCTATAATGGTGAAGAGACTGGGAGATGTATCTTGGTGTACTCGGTTCTCGATGTATTTTGGTGTAGTCGGTTGATTACCTATAATGGTGAAGAGACTGGCAGATGTATCTTGGTGTACTCGGTTCTCGATGTATTTTGGTGTAGTCGGTTGATTACCTATAATGGTGAAGAGACTGGGAGATGTATCTTGGTGTACTCGGTTCTCGATGTATTTTGGTGTAGTCGGCTGATTACCTATAAAGGTGAAGAGACTGGGAGATGTATCCAAGTGAACAGGGTTGTTGATGTATCTTGGGGCACATGATTGTCACTGTATCTAGGGCACAGGGACGTAGGAGGAAGTCGGGAAAAGGGTTGTCGCTGTATCTAGGGAACAGGGTTGTCACTGCATCTAGGGGCACAGGGTTGTCACTGTATCTAGGAGCAAAGGGTTGTCACTGTATCTAAGGGTACAGGGTTGTCACTGTATCTAGGAGCAAAGGGTTGTCACTGTATCTAGGGGCACAGGGTTGTTACTGTATCTAGGGAACAGGGTTGTCACTGTATCTAGGAGCACAGGGTTGTCAATGTATCTAGGGGCACAGGATTGTCGGTGTATCTAGGGGCACAGGGTTGTCACTGTATCTATGGGCACAGGGTTGTTGGTTAATCTAGGAACACAGGGTAGTCACTGTATCTAGGGGCACAGGGTTGTCACTGTATCTAGGGCACAGGGTTGTCACTGTATCTAGGGCACAGGGTTGTCACTGTATCTAGAGCACAGGGTTGTCACTGTATCTAGGGGCACAGGGTTGTCACTGTATGTAGGGCACAGGGTTGTTACTATATCTAGGGCACAGGGTTGTCACTGTATCTAGGGCACAGGGTTGTCACTGTATCTAGGGCACAGGGTTGTCACTGTATCTAGGGCACAGGGTTGTCACTATATTTATGGACAGAGGGTTGTCGGTGTATCTAGGAACACATGGTTGTCACTGTATGTATGGGCACAGGGTTGTCGGTGTATCTAGGAACACAGGGTAGTCACTGCATCTAGGGGCACAGGGTTGCCACTGTATCTAGGAACACAGGGTATTCACTGTATCTAGGGGCACAGGGTTGTCACTGTATCTAGGGCACAGGGTTGTCACTGTATCTAGGGCACAGGGTTGTCACTGTTTCTAGGACACAGGGTTGTCACTGTATCTAGAGCACAGGGTTGTCACTGTATCTAGGAGCACAGAGTTGTCACTGTATCTAGGGCACAGGGTTGTTACTATATCTAGGGCACAGGGTTGTCACTGTATCTAGGGCACAGGGTTGTCACTGTATCTAGGGGCACAGGGTTGTCACTGTATCTAGGGCACAGAGCTGTCACTTTATCTAGGGCACAGGGTTGTCACTGTATCTAGGGGCACAGGGTTGTCACTGTATCTAGCGGCACAGGGTTGTCGGTGTATCTAGGAACGCAGGGACGTGAATGTATCTAGGGCACAGGGTTGTCACTGTATCTAGGAACACAGGGTTGTCACTGTATGTAGGGGCACAGGGTTGTCACTGTTTCTAGGGGTACTAGGTTGTCACTGTATCTAGGGGCACAGGTTTGTCACTGTATCTAGCAACACAAGGTTGTCACTGTATCTAGAAGCACAAGGTTGTCACTGTATCTAGGAACACGGGGTTGTCACTGTATCTAGGTGCACATTGTTGTCATTGTATCTAGGAACACAGGGTTGTCAATGTATCTAGGGGCACAGGGTTGTCCAAGTATTAAGGAACATAGGGTTTGTTACTGTATCTAGGGGCACAGGGTTGTCACTGTTTCTACGGGTACTGGGTTGTCACTGTATCTAGGGGCACAGTATTGTCACTGTATCTAGCAACACAAGGTTGTCACTTTATATAGAAGTATACGGTTGTCAGTGTATCTAGGAACACAGGGTTGTCACTGTATCCAGGGGCACATTGTTGTCATTGTATCTAGGAACACAGGGTTGTCAATGTATCTAGGGGCCCAGGGTTATCAAGGTATTTAGGAACATAGGGTTTGTCGATGTATCTAGGGGCACGGGGTTGTCACTGTATCTAGCAACACAGAGTTGTCACTGTATCTAGGGGCACATTGTTGTCATTGTATCTAGGAACACAAGCTTGTCACTGTATCTAGGGGCACATGGTTGTCCAGGTATTGAGGATAATAGGGTTTGTCACTGTATCTAGAAGCACACAGGGTTGTCCAAGTATTTAGGAACATAGGGTTTGTCGGTGTATCTATGGGCACAGGGTTGTCCAAGTATTTAGAAACATTGGGTCTGTCACTGTATCTAGGGGCACATTGTTGTCATTGTATCTAGGAACACAGGGTAGTCACTGTATCGAGGGGCACAGGGTTGTTTCTGTATCTAGGGCACAGGGTTGTCACTGTATCTAGGACACAGGGTTGTCACTGTATCTAGGGCACAGGGTTGTCACTGTTTCTAGGACACAGGGTTGTCACTGTATCTAGAGCACAGGGTTGTCACTGTATGTAGGAGCACAGAGTTGTCACTGTATCTAGGGCACAGGGTTGTTACTATATCTAGGGGCACAGGGTTGTCACTGTATCTAGGGCACAGGGTTGTCAGTGTATCTAGGGGCACAGGGTTGTCACTGTATCTAGGGCACAGAGCTGTCACTGTATCTAGGGCACAGGGTTGTCACTGTATCTAGGGGCACAGGGTTGTCACTGTATCTAGCGGCACAGGGTTGTCGGTGTATCTAGGAACGCAGGGACGTGAATGTATCTAGGGGCACAGGGTTGTCACTGTATCTAGGAACACAGGGTTGTCACTGTATGTAGGGGCACAGGGTTGTCACTGTTTCTAGGGGTACTAGGTTGTCACTGTATCTAGGGGCACAGGTTTGTCACTGTATCTAGCAACACAAGGTTGTCACTGTATCTAGAAGCACAAGGTTGTCACTGTATCTAGGAACACGGGGTTGTCACTGTATCTAAGGGCACAGGTTTGTCACTGTATCTAGCAACACAAGGTTGTCACTGTATCTAGAAGCACAAGGTTGTCACTGTATCTAGGAACACAGGGTTGTCACTGTATCTAGGTGCACGTTGTTGTCATTGTATCTAGGAACACAGGGTTGTCAATGTATCTAGGGGCACAGGGTTGTCCAAGTATTAAGGAACATAGGGTTTGTTACTGTATCTAGGGGCACAGGGTTGTCACTGTTTCTACGGGTACTGGGTTGTCACTGTATCTAGGGGCACATTTTTGTCACTGTATCTAGCAAGACAAGGTTGTCACTGTATCTAGAA